ACCGCACTCCAGTCTGGGTGACAGAGTGAGACTCCAACTCAAAAAAAAAGAAAAAAAGAAGAAAAAAAAGAAGCTGGGGTCCCAGGCAGACCAGGAGCTGTTTTCTTATCTGCAGGCTAATTGTGTGAAGCAGGGGCACCGAGACCCTGCTGCAGGGGCATCCTCCACGGGGACGACGTTTGCCTGTGCTCTGCCCCCCACCATGTGACTGGCATGTTCTCAGTGCTGCTCTCCTGCCTCTCAGAGAGGGCGCCTTCTAGAACTTCGTCCTTGGGGTTCTCTGAACTGCAGGGAGCTGGGATGTTCAGGTCTCAGTTTTCTCCCATCCCTGCTTCCGGCTCTAACAAATAACCACAATACATATCTGGGCCAGGCATGGTGCCAAGTGCCTGCCAGACACGATTCCTCCCACTCACCCCATTGTGACCATGGAGAAGAGATTATTCCCATTTTATAGATAAGGTAACTGAGACTCAGAAAGGTGACTTTTCCAAAACCATAGCCTGTTCTCTGTAGAGATAGGGCTTGAGCCCAGTCGGGCAACCCCCAGTCTTGACTTCTGGACCTGACGCTGGAGGGCTGTGCTTTCTGACCCCCAGATGAGGTCGTGCTCAAGTTTGAAATGGGCCATGTGAGAGCGCGGAATCTGGCTTACGACACCCTCCCAGTCCTGATCCATGGCAATGGGCCCACCAAGGTAGGGAGGGGTTCTGGCCCCTTGGGAATATGGGAGAGAGCCATAGCCCTGGTTCTGCTCTCACTGTGACCCTATGGTTTCTCCCTGTGGCCAGGGCCACCTACCTAGGCCCCACTGTGCGCTCACTGACTCTACCCTCATATCTGAGCTCAACGTGATGCTTTCTCTCCCTACTGTGGTGGTCACTGGTGTCCTATCTATTCCTGCTGGGCCGCAGGACACATAGGAGGCCACTGTTCCCATCCAGGCCTAGACTGGCTGCCAGAGCCGTCTGTACTCTGTCTTCCCAGCACAGAGTCACTTATTCACTCAACAAACATTGATTGGGTGTTTGTACCAGGGACTAAGGCATAGTCAGTCATGAACAGGACAGATGTCTTATGTTCATGGTGCTACAGAAGGGGCTAGGGCGGACTGCAGCCAGGGACAGGGACAGACCTAAGTGGCCCTGGGGACTGGCTGTGGTTTGCAGCATACTTCTTTTTTTTTCTTTTTTCTTATTTTTGAGTTGGAGTCTGACACTCAGGCTGGAGTGCCGTGGCCCACTCACGGCCACCACAGCCTCTAGCTGCTGGGCTCAGGCGACCCTTCTGTTTTTGCCTTCCTAGTAGCTGGAACTACAGGCATGTGTCACCATGCCCAGTTAATTTTTTGATTTATTGTAGAGAGGGTCTTGCCAAGTTGCCTGGACTGCTCTCAAACCTGGGGGCTCAGGCAAATCTCGCCTCCACCTCCCAAAATGCTGGGATTACAGACTTGAACCACCGTGCTTGGCTGCATATTTCTTGTTTTTTTTTGTTTGTTTGTTTTTTCTTTTGAGTTGGAGTCTCACTCTGTCACCCAGACTGGGGTGCTGTGGCTGCTCCCGGCCGCCACAGCCTCAACCTGCTGGGCTCCGGCGATCCTTCCACCTCAGCCTTCCAAGTAGCTGGAACTACAGGTGCGCGCTACCACGCCCAGCTAATTTTTTGATTTATTGTAGAGATGAGGTCTCGCCAAGTTGCCCAGGCGGGTCTCAGACCCACGGGCTCAGGCATTCCACTCACCTCAGCCTCCCAAAGGCGCAGGATTACAGGCCGAGCCACCAAGCCCGGCTTTTTTTGTTTTTGTTTTGTTTTTTTGTGCATATTTCTTGTATGTGGTCCTTGGCCACTTGGATGGGGAAAAGAAGGAGATGTAAAAATACAGATTTCCGTCACCCACCCAGGATCTGCTCAGCTGGAATCTCTGAGGGAGCCCAGGAATCTGCATTTTACAAGCTCCCAGGAGATCCAAAGAAGCAGACGTACCAAAGCACCGAGCCCTCCCTCTCCCCTCCCCTAGAGCAGATATGATCTCCTGGGGGAACAGAACATTCTCTCCAAGACTGACTCTGGGGGCGGGAGGGGGCTGGGTTGCGCGGGGTCCACCCGGGGCCCAGCAAAATGTGAGCGGCAGTGGGTGGGGCTGGCCCGACTCCTCTCGGACCCCGTGTCTCCCTACAGCTGCAGCTGAACTACCTGGGCAACTACATCCCACGCTTCTGGACCTTCGAGACGGGCTGTACCGTGTGTGACGAGGGCCTGCGCAGCCTCAAGGGGATCGGGGTGAGGCTGTGACCCAGCTGTGCCTGAGAGATGTTGGTGCTTAGTGCCCCGAGCTGGGGAGGAGGTTGGGCGATTCTGGAACTGACTCTGTTGTCTTTGGTGGGACGCAAAGGGGTCACTTCCCTGTGTGGGATTCCATCCCCCTTACTACTAAGTGCCTCTTCCTGGAAGTCCTCTCAGACTGCATGTCTCTAGCTGCTCTCAGATGCCTAAATTCTGGTTTCTTCTGCCTGGTCCTTCAGGCTCTTCTACAGCCCCCTCTCTATCCCACAAGCCTTACTCCTCCTTCGTGGCAGACCTCGAACGCTACATCAGCCACAATCTCCTGGCAGCATGCCCTCCCTGGGTCCTCGCACCAAGCCTGGGCTCCCTCTGCGCCTTCCCTGGGGCATCCTCCTGCTACTTCCCTGGCCCCTGCACCCCCTGCCTGGAGCTCCCTGGCCCTGACCCTTCCCTACTACGTCCACAAGCTTCTGTCCCTGGACCACTGTCGGACTCAGCAGTGACTGGACGCTGCTGGACTCTCTTGCCGCCCTCTCCCATGCAGGATGAAGCTCTGCCCACTGTCCTGGTCGGTGTGTTCATCGAGCAGCCCATACCGTTCCTGTCCCTGTTCTTCCAGCGGCTCCTGCGCCTCCACTACCCCCAGAAGCAGATGCGACTTTTCATTCACAACCACGTGAGTAGCAGGCATGCTGCATGCTCGTCGTGTGGCTTGGGGCCGGGGCCCAGTCTCATGTGGTAGGCTGACACCTCCGAGAATCTGACAGAACCAGATTCACCTGGGCCAAGTGAAAGTGGCTGTGTCCCCAGATCACTGGGTTGACGCTGGAGGCAGACTGGCTGGGTTTATATCCAAAACTACTGTTTTATGTTTTTGTTCTTTATTGGCTGTGTGCCCTTGGGCACATTACTCAACCTCTCTGTGCTTCAGTTTTCTCATCTATGAAACAGGAATAGTAATAGTGTTGAGCTCACAGAACAGCTGCAAGTGAAGCACATTGATGTGTGACATGCGTAGAAGGTATCGGGTGTGCAGGAAGCAGAGGTGCTTCTAGCCCTCATCATTTCTGTCCCCGCCCCGTCTCCATTTGTCCTTCCCAGTGGGATCTGGTGACAGTCAAGTTGCTTTCTATTACTGAGACTTTCTGGGGGCTGCAGGGGGGGGTGGGGGCTGAGGCCTGCTGTTCTGTGGGGAGCAGAACTGGACTCCACATCCCCAGTGCCTTCCTTTCTCACCTCTCTTTCTAGCCAGTCAAGTCCTACCACTTAGCTGCTTACACTGGTTTCCCTAACCGGGGGGCCACATACCCTTTCCAAATCCCACCTGTTCTTCGAGGCTCTGTGGTTTCCTTGAAGCCTACTTGGCTGCCCTGTCTGGGGCCTCCCCTTTTCTGAGGCCTCTCGTCCCCGACAGTCCCACCCCTGGTTCAGCTCTCGGTCATTTCAACTGTGCAACAGGCCACCTGGAAACAGAAGGGACGGAGGCCCTGTCCTTGGGAGCCTCATGGCTGCTCTGAGGACACTAAGCAGCACACCCTGGAATGTGACTGTAGTAAAAGGGAATGGAGCCCCGGGGGCGGTGGCTCACGCCTGCAGTCCCAGCACTTTGGGAGGCCGAGGCAGGTGGTTTACTTGAGCCCAGGAGTTTGAGGTTAGCCTAGGCAATCTAGCAGACCTCGCCTCTACAAAAAAATCAGCTGGGCACAGTGGCATGTGCCCGTAGTTCCAGCTACTTGGAAGGCGGAGGCAGAAGGACCACCTGAGCCCAGCAAGTCGAGACTGCAGTGGCTGTGAGTGTGCCACTGAACTCCAACATGGGCGACAGAGTGAGACTCCAACTCAAAAAAAAAAGAAAAAGGAGATGGTCACAGGAGGTCATTGAGGACCTACTGTAAGCTAAGTCTGACTCACTGCTTCCAGTGGCCTGTGAGGGAAGCACAGCTGTCCTCCCATTGTACAAGGGAGGAATCCTAAGTGGAAGTAGGAGGAGCGACATGCCCAAGACCAGGTGGTTTGTCAAGGCAGAGCCAGGTTGATCTGAGCCCTGAATCTGGTTCTGAAGAACCCTGGGTCTGGTTCTGCGCTTTCCACTTCTTCTCACAGAGGGCCCTGGGTTTGGACTCTGTTTTTCAAAGTAAGGTCAAGGATCACTTGGTACATTTTGTAACAAAGCAGGTCCCTGGGCCACACCCCAGTCCTGCAGATCAACAGTCTCTACATGTGGGATCCAGGGGTGGGAGGGTCAGTCCCCATGACAGAAGCTCCTTTGAGGCCTGGCCTGTCAAGGGAAGAGGTCAAAGGCCGGCAGGGAAGGGTGTTTCGGCCACAGGGTCTGGCATGGGCAGAGGCCTGGTGACAGGGAGGCAGATGGCCAGGGGTGTGTTGGGGACGAAGGGGAACAGCCTGGCTGCAGCAGAAGGTGCTGCAGTCCCCATGGTGGACACCGTGCATCACTGTCACCCTCCCGCCCCAGGAACAGAACCATAAGGCTCGGGTAGAGCAGTTCCTGGCAGAGCACGGCGACGAGTACCATTCTGTGAAGCTGGTGGGCCCTGAGGTGCGGATGACAAATGCAGATGCCAGGAACATGGGCGCGTGAGTCGTGGGCCGTGGGTATCTCCCCTGACAGCGGCAGGTAGAGGGGCCGTGGTATCAGGAGTGGCAGGCAGGGTGATGGGAGTTCAGGAAGCTGTTCCTGTCCCTCTCTGGGCCTCAGAGTTCCCATATATCAAATGGGGAAATAGGTCAGGCGTGGTAGCTCACACCTGTAATTCCAGCACTTTGGGAGGCTGAGATGGAAGGATGACTTGAGCCCAGGATTTCAAGACCAGCCTGAGAAATATAGTGAGACTTCGTCTCTACAAAAAAATTTAAAATGAGCCGAGCGGGGTGGTGTGTGCCTGTAGTTCCAGCTACCTAGAAGGCTGAGGTGGAAGGATTGCTTGAGCCTAGGCGGTCGAGGCTGCAGTGAGCTGTGATCATGCCACTGTACTACAGCCTGGGCAGCAGAATGAGACTTTTACTCAAAACAAACAAGCAAACAAACAAAAAGATGAGGAAATATGGCCAGGTTCAGTGGCTCAGCCAGTAATCCCAGCACTTTGGGAGACCAAGGCAAGTGGATTGCCTGAGCCTGTGGGTTTGAGACCAGCCTGGGCAACTTGGCAAGACCTCGTCTCTATAATAAATCAAAAATGAACTGGATGTGGTAGTGCGCACCTGTAGTTCTTGCTACTTGGAAGGCTGAGGCAAAAGGATTGCCGGAGCCCAGCCGATCGGCGCTGGGGTGGCCATGAGCATGCCACTGCTCGTCAGCCTAGGTGACAGAGTGAGACTCCAACTAAAAAAAAAAAATGAGGAAATAGTCTCTGTCCTGTCTATCTCCGGGTTCCTGGGTAGGGTTGAGCAGCATCTTTTGGGTTCAGGAAGCAAATCGTGGAAAGAAAAAGGTCTTGGGGGCAGAAATAGACCAAGGCTGACAATTGGTGAAACAATCTCTTATATTTTCTTTACTACTATTTAAAAAAAGAAAGAGGGCTGGGCGTGGTGGCTCATGTCTATAATCCCAGCACTTTGGGAGGCTGAGGTGAGAGGATTGCCTGAGCTCACAGATTCAAGACCAGCCTGGGAAACTTGGCGAGACCTCATCTCTATAATAAATCAAAAAATTTTTAAAAAGAGAGAGAGAGAAAGAGAGCAAGCAATTTGTGCTGATTTTAGGATTAGATAGTCCAGATCAAAGGCTGGCCAACTTCATATGAAGGGCTAGATAGTAAGTCTTTGCAGAAGGGCTCTGTGGGCTCTGTACAGCTACTCAGCTCTCCCTTTGTACCACAAAAGCAGCCACAGATAATAAAGACATCAGTGAGCATGGCTGTGTTCCAGCATGACCTTCTTTCTGGAAGCCGAAATCTGACTATCATGAAATTTTCATGTGTAGTTTTGTTATTTTTACCATTTAAAAATGTAAAACTATTCCTAGCCCACGAGCTCTATAAAACCAGGCAGGGCAAGGATTTGGACCACAGATCTAAGTTGGCTGAGTCCTGGACCAGATTGAACAAAAACAACACACATTTCTTTTTTGAGTTGGAGTCTCACTCAGGTCAGCCCGCAGCCTCCACCTGCTGGGCTCCGGCGATCCTTCCGCCTCAGCCTTCCAGTAGCTGGAACTACAGGCATGCGCTACCACGCTAAGCTGATTTTTTGATTTATTGTAGAGATGAGGTCTCGCTGCCCAGGCGGGTCTCAAACCCGTGGGCTCAGGCAATCCACTCACCTCAGCCTCCCAAGGCATGGGATTACAGGCTGAGCCACTGAGCCCGGCTACAACACACATTTTTAAGGCTTTTGGTACAAGTTACCATGTCGCCCTTCAGCAAGGCAGCACCAGCTAACTCTGCCCCAGCAGTGTAGGCAACTGTCTGGTGGACTGTGTGCTCCTCAGCACCAGCATTTTCAGAAACTTGATGCCAGCTGCCGAGCTCTGGGCCTTGGCCTTGAGAGCACAGCAGCCCAGGGTTTGGGTCTTAGAGTCAGAAGGAACCTTTGAGGCTGCTGGTCCCAACCTGCACCAGGGCTGGTGTGACATTCCTAAAGCCCCCTGGCTAGTACATGGTGAAGCCAGACTGTGGTCCCCAATGGGGCAGCTCCGGGGTGAACCCCACTGACCCTGCATCTTCCTCCTCGCAGAGACCTGTGTCGGCAGGACCGCAGCTGCGCCTACTACTTTAGTGTGGATGCTGACGTGGCCTTGACGGAGCCCGAAAGCCTGCGCCTGCTTATTGAACAGAACAAGTGAGGCTGTGGGTGGCCCTGTGTGTGACAAGCCTGGGCCAGGGGATCCCGCCTGCTTCTTCCTCCTTCCTCCTCAGCTTTACCCGGGGCTGTGGTGTCCCCAGACTGGCAACTCTGGGTTCTCATAGAGAATGGCGCCACTGCTCCTTCCCCGCCTCCTCCCCCAGTCTGCTCCTGGCCATGGGAGGGAGTAGATACCAGAAGAGCCAAATCTCCTCAGGCCAAGGCCCTGCCTGCCCCGGTCAGATGCTGGGAGATCCCTGTGTGTGGGGTAGAGGTCACCTGCTCCCCTTCCCCATCCCTGCTTAGGCCTGTCTTCAGGATCCCAATGAAATGCTCCCTTCCTCAGGAACGTCATTGCACCGCTGATGACCCGCCACGGGAGGCTGTGGTCGAACTTCTGGGGAGCACTGAGTGCAGATGGCTACTACGCCCGCTCTGAGGATTATGTGGACATCGTGCAGGGGCGGCGTGTGTGAGTACCTGCAGGGTCGGGGGGCAGCTTCATCTATACCTGGGCCTGCAATACCAGCCTCCCCAATAGTCCCATCCCTGTTACCCTCATATTCCTGCTGAAACTTCAAGCAGGAAAGACAGCAGTCAGACACACGGAAGGACTTTCTGACAAACATCTCAGACGTCACAGGCCCAGGGTGGTGGAATCAAATCAGTGCTATTATGCCCTCCCAACCTGTGACTTCCCTTCTTCCAGCCCAGACCCCCCAACCTATGACCCCTCACCGCCAGCCTGTGACCACCTTCATCTTCCTGTCTCCCCTAGCGGTGTCTGGAATGTGCCCTATATCTCAAACATCTACTTGATCAAGGGCAGTGCCCTGCGGGCTGAGCTGCAGACCACAGACCTGTTCCGCTACAGCAAGCTGGACCCCGACATGGCCTTCTGCGCCAATATCCGGCAGCAGGTCAGCCAGGGCTGGGCGGTCACGGGAGGCCCTTGATGGGGACGGTGGGCCTCCATCTCTGACCCTCATGGTGGCTGCCTTGTCACCATAGGCCTGGGAGCGCCTGAGATTCCAGCAGGGCTTTTCAGAGACCACTAGGGCCTGGTGGAGGCACAAGGGGCATTGAGCACCAGGACTGATCCTTAGGGTCTGCAGGGACCATGTCAAGTGGATTCGCTTTTCACACCATCTGTTGTATTTACACTGTTGACATAGCCCAAAGAAAACTAAACTTCCCTCTAAATGTACCCCAACTAATGTGCCCCAGAGACGCCTTGCCCTGTCTCTGCACCCACCCACCCATGTATTTTCGTGAGGTTTTTTTGTTTTGTTTTGTTTTTTAAGAAGAGTCTCACTCTGTCACCCAAGCTAGAGTGCAGTGGCATGCTCGTGGCCACCGTAGCCTCGACCTGCTGGGCTCAGGCAATCCTTCCACCTCAGCCTTCCGAGTAACTGTAACTACTGGCATATGCCACTATGCCCAACTAATTTTTTGATTTATTTAGATATGAGGTCTTGCCAAGTTGCCCAGGCTGGTCTCGAACCCATGGGCTCAGGCAATCCTCTCACCTTAGCCACCCAAAGTGCTGGAGTTACAGGTGTGAGCCACCAAGTCCAGTGATTTATTTTTTTTAATGTGACAGCATAATGAAGCTTTCCCCTGTGACCAAAACTTCAGGATCAGAACACTTTTATGTCTTAGTTCTTTCATTCCCTCTTCAGTCCTCTGGGAAACCTCCTGTAATCACACCCCTGGTGGGCCCTGGGGACACCGGGATGACCTGCACTTGGTCCCTTATCTTGTGAACTTGAGTCTGATCGGCAGAGGAGGCTGCACTTCCTCCCTTCCCAGAGCATGCAGGGGGTGGGGCAGGGCCTCTTCAGAGCATGGAGCCTTTTCTCCCCAGGGTGTATTCATGTTCCTGACCAACCGGCACACCTTTGGCCACCTGCTCTCCCTGGACAGCTACCAGACCACCCACCTCCACAACGACCTCTGGGAGGTGTTCAGCAACCCCGAGGTGAGGCCTGGGTGGGTGGCCAGGGCTGGGAGCAGAAGAAGCCTGTGATCCTGTGGCCCAAGACGCCGCCCTCTCAGAGCCTCATAGCCCTGGGACTCTGGGGGCCACCTGTGTCCTTCCCTTCCCCCCAGGGCATGTAGGGCGGGATTTGGGTCTGTACAGGAGGGCATCTGGAGAGACAGCGCTGTCTAGTGGAGGAGTCAGAGGCTTGGGCTTGTCCCAGATCTGCCATCAGCTGGGACCTAATTGAGCCTCTCAACTTTGGAGCCTCAGTTATCTTAGCTCTAAAATGGGTGTACTATCTCAGCCTGTTATGCCCCCCAACAGTGTTCCTAGATGTTGGGCGCTTGCAGCTGACATGGGCATACCCACATGTCTGCACACAAGCGTGTACACACAGGCACGTACATGCACATGGCTGTGCAAACACCACTTCCTATGGGCACCCTTGTGTACCCAGGTGACATACACACACAGTGGGAGCCCACCTTCCCTAGGCCTATATATATTTACCCCCATTTCTTTCTTCCTTTTTATTTTGAGGCGGAGTCTCACTCTGTTGCCCAGACTGGAGTGCAGTGGCACGCTCATGGCCACCACAACCTCAACTTGCTGGGCCCAGACAATCCTTCCACCTAAGCCTTCCAAGTAGCAACCACAGGCGTGTGCCATTGCACGCAGCTAACTTTTTGATTTATTGTAGCGACGAGATCTTGCCAAGTTGCCCAGACTGGTCTTGAATTCCTGGGCTCAGGCAGTCTTCTTGCCTCGGCCTCCCAAATTTCTGGGATTACAGGCGTGAGCCACCATGTCCGGCACTCACCCCCATTTCTTTTTTTCTTTTTCTTTTGAGTTGGAGTCTCACTCTGTCGCCCAGACTGGAGTGCAGTAGCCGCTCCCAGCCACCGCAGCCTCGACCTGCTGGGCTCCAGCGATCCTTCCGAAAACTACAGGCGCGCGCTACCACACCCGGCTAATTTTTGATTTGTTGTAGAGATGAGGTCTCTCCAAGTTGCCCAGGCGGGTCTCGAACCCGCGGCCTCAGGCAATCCACTCACCTCAGCCTCCCAAAGGCGTGGGATTACAGGCTGAGCCACCGAGCTCGGCTTACTCACCTCCATTTCAAGGGGCCTGGAGGGAAGAGCCCCTCTTGAACATCCCAAGAAGTTGAGCAGGGTTGAGCCTCAGTGGGCTCAGATCTGGTCCGAGGACCCCAGTCTGCTTTCCACTCCCCATAGGACTGGAAGGAGAAGTACATCCATGAAAACTACACCAAGGCACTGGCGGGGAAGCTCGTGGAAACGGTAAGGGCGGTGGGCACCCTCTGGCACCTTAGGGGCCGGGGCAGAGAATAAGAGACTAGCTGATGAGGAGAAGGGAGGGGAAGTGAGGTGGCTCCTCCCCCCGGCCCAGGCAGGAAAGAGGAAACCATCTCAGATGTGGTCTCCACTGTGGCCGGGGTCCCTGAGCAGGAGTGAAGAGTGGCTTGTTTCTGTCCACTCATGTGTGGCTGCTTCCCTGGTGGGGCCTTTGTTCTCAGCCTCCGTGTGCTTCCCTTTCCTCACCCTGGCCCTGGGAACCCTGTGATCTCGGCTGAGAAAGGCTGTCTCTGGGCTCTGCCTCCTCTCTCAGTTCATCTAGGGTTGACTGAACCCCTGCTCTATGGGGACACACAGGGTCACAGGCCTGGGTGTGGGGCCCTGCAGAGGGGGAGGATGTCGTGGTGCCACCTGTGCCCCCTGACTGAATCTTACCCTCTACAGCCCTGTCCAGATGTCTACTGGTTCCCCATCTTCACGGAGGCAGCCTGTGACGAGCTGGTGGAGGAGATGGAACACTTTGGCCAGTGGTCTCTGGGTGACAACAAGGTGGGGACCTGATGCCTGGGCTGGGGCTGCAGGGAGGCTGGTTTTCCACCCACACCCGCCTTCTGGGCTCTTCTTCTGGCAAACTAGCCTCACCAACCACCCTAGGACTCTTGACATGGGAGTGCTATCAGAGGTGCCGCAGGCAGTTGAGAGTAGAGGACTGAGAAACTGGGGAGGGAATTGGTCCCCAGTTGCCATTGCCACTTGTGACTTTGAGCTGCCATAAATTGCTGTCTCTGGGTTCTGCCTCCTTCTCCCTTTAGGAGCTCATTTGGTCTATTTCTTTCTTTCTTTTTTTTTTGAGTTGGAGTCTCATTCTGTCGCCCAGACTGGAGTGCA